GTATCTTCAGTTGTGGACTGTCCAAGGCATCTACGAACTGATCCCTCAGCAACAGCTTGAGGACATAGGGTGGTGCAGTTGGGTAAGCCTTGTGTGCCATACTTTCCAAATCATGTGCCAGCTCTTGCAGGCTCTCCTCTTTAACACGGACTCTTGTCCTAAACCTAGCCCTGTAGACTTCCGACTGATTTTGAGTTCCATATCTGATTTGTAAAGCAGCTACCAGTGCTCTATAGTTGTGCCTGTCATCTGCTGACAACTTCCCATGTATTTCCAGTGGTTTTCCCTTCTAGCTCGTTGCCAAGTACACTGCTTTCTGCTCTTCTGTGTTTCCATTCATTTCTGCCAGTAGCTCAAATTGTGTTCTATATGCTTCCCATGGTGCCTTCCCATCGAATTTCTGCGACTCCCTTCATACTAGATCACCCCTATTGCTGACATTCATGTCTGGAATGTGACTTCTGACAGGATTGAAGATGTCTGATCAAATTGAATTTCTTTGGGTAAGCCAACAAAAGGAAAGAAATTAATCAAAGATTTGGAAATTTTTTGGGCTGAAATGTTTCTCAAATGGATAGGTTCAGGGAATCGAGTGGATGCATTTATGATAGTTAACAAATACTGATTCCCCGATCGAGTTTTTGGTAAAAGCCCAACACAATCAACAATCACACGACTGAAGGGTTCTTCGAAAGCTGGGGTAGGCTGCAAAGGAACAATAGGAATTTTCTGGTCAGGTTTTCTGATCAATTGACAGATATGACAAGTTTTGCAAAATTGAGAAACGTTTTGCCTAATTTTTGGCCAAGTTTTGTCACACGTCTTGTTGACACCTAAATGACCTCCCATGGGGATTTCATGGGCAACTTTCAATATTTCAGAACGATATGCTTTGGGAACAACGATTTGATAAACAATAGCCCAGTTCTCTGAAGCTGGCACATCTGGTGGTCTCCATTTCCTCATAAGCACTCCACTTTTGAAAAACAACCATTTGGAAATTCCTCCATTTCATCTTTTGGGAGTGCAAAT